AAGTGTGTCAAGTCCTCTTGTTACCTTCTCCCTGCCACCACCTTGGGGCCTTCAGTAAGACCCAGACCCAGAGGCTCAAAGTCAAGCAGTTTCTTTATGAAAGAAAGAGGCGAAACTCAAATCCAGACCTACCTGTCACCTATTCTAAACTTTTCTGTTATACGTCTGGGAACAGTGGCATTCCCTTAAAATCTGCACACCTCACAGTGTGATCCTCATTTGGAAATGAAGTCTTTGCAGATGTAATTAGCTAAGATGAGGATATACTGGAGTAGGATGGGCCCCGAATCTAGTCTGGCTGGTGTCCTTATGGGAAGAAGAGAGCACAGACACAGACCCAGGTGATTTGCACAGGAGATGGGCATAGGAAGACATAGACAAGGAGGAACACCACACACTAACAAACATGGAGGCCGAGACTAGAGTGATGTGTCTACAAAGTAAGGTTGCCAAACATTGTCAGCAACCACCAGAAGCTGGAGGAGGCTAGAAGTATTCTCCTGAGCAGCCTTTGGAGAAAGCCAGTCCCCACTATCAGCTTGATTTCAGACTTCCAACCTCCAGAGCTATGGGATAACGCTTGCCTCCTGGTTAAGCCACACAGTTTGTGATACTTAACACATGCATACATCTCCTTCCTACGGTACAGAAAGAGTGGCAGTGTGGCTCCCAGGTGGAGCCCCGGTAAAACAGACTCTCAGGGTAAATTCAAGGCAGAGAAGAATGGCAAGAACACCTATTTACCCTGCAGGCGCTCTATGCACCTTATATGTAGGATCACGGTTGTTCCCCCAGTTAAGTATGAGATTTCCATTTTACAAATAAGGAAGCTGAAATGAAAAGCCATTTCCTTCTAAACTTGTTTCCCCCCCCCCTCCCATAGATACTACACAAGGAGCAAACTCATACCTCAGTTCGAGTCTCAGGGAGCAGGCTACTTACTTCCCTTCTCTGAGCCTCATTTTCTTCAGCCAGAAAATGGGTATAATAGTATCTTCCTGTCAGATGGTTGTGAGAATGAAATTAGTTCATTTTTTCATTCAGCATGTTTTATGGAAGGTCTCCTCTGCACCAGCCCCTCCACTTGGCCCTGGAGACACAGCAGTGACAGGTCCCCAACAGGGTGGGCACTTTGGAAGTGCTTCATAGAACTCTTTTAGAACCCAGAGGGACAAGAATGTAGGATTCAACAAGGGGGCGTGTGAAGCTGACTTAGCTTGTAGAAGGCTCACCTTGGTACTAATTCTTTTCTCCTTGTTGGAGATGGTACAGATCCCTGACCAAGGAAGACAAATTCCTTGAGGGCCTGGGGCCTGTGTTCTTGGGCACCTAACAGTGTCTGCTCCCAGTAGCCTCTCCAGAGCCAGCAGAACTGTGTGATTCAGGCAGTCTGTAGAGGCAGCTGAAGGGGCCTTGGTTTTCTCCTGGGGGCCCTCCTTAAGGCATTGTCCCCTCAGCCCATGCCTTCCCAGCTCAGCCCCACCCACTTCCTGACAATGTCCCTGCCTGGGCCCGGGCTGAGCCTGGCCTGGAGATGCTCCCAGCTGTCCTGATATCCCCTCTAGCTTCTGCAGACATTCCTTTTTCTGCCCCTGAAGGCGTCCTCTGGGCAGAAGTCATTCGCTTCCCTCCAGAGGTGTCCCCAGACACCGCCCTCATGCTATTCTTTTTCCTTGACAACTGTGGCATCCAATATCAAATGGGCTGTGCTCAGCACAGGCAGAGTGGGATTCCTGATAGCTAAGTGGCTTAGGGAAGAGTCCTCTGAAGCTCCCCTGTGGACTAGGAATGATCAGTCTGGTTGGGTCTGGTTGGGTACCAGCAAACCTCTTCCAGACCTTTGCTTCTCTAAGCGTAGGATAGAAGACACCCTCTCTGCTTCCATGGAGTGGGGTGGGGGATGAGGACCAGGGACACCAAAAAAGCCTGCGCGTGCGGCAGCAATCAATCCTAAAAGCTGACTGCCTACCAGGTAGGCTCTGGAAGTGGGACAGTGTGGGCACAGAGTGGCTACGCCTGTCAGACCTCCTGTCCTCACTTGCCCCGGGTGAGCTGGGAGAGCTGGCACCAGGCACTGGGGACATGGGCTCTGGCTGGCCCAGACAGCTCAGCAGTGGCAGCAGCAGTGGCAGCAGGGGCTATTCTGAGAGCTGGGAGGGGCCAGGAGCTGCGCTCTAGGAGGGAAAGCAGCTGGGAGGAGACAGTCCCTGGAGTAGGGGTGGAGTGTCCCTGTGGTGTGGGCGGTGTGTGCACTGGGCGAGGTGTGTGATTATCACTGTGGGGTGGCCCCACTTGAGGTCCTGAAAAGTTTGCTGGGATTGTTTGGGCGTATGTGTAGCAGTGTTGTGATCTAAGTATGAGTCAAGTGAATCACACAAAGTAAGCGAGTGAGTGAGTGAGCTCAGGCAGGGATAGAAGCAAGCATCCCTGAGTGTGGAAGGAGCAGGAATAAAAGTGTCAACAGCGGGGGCCTGTTGGTGAGCAGGAATGAATGTGGGAGTGAGTGACAGCAAGGGTACACAGGAGCTGGGAGATTGTGTTGGGGAAAGGAGGGGCTACTGGTGGGGAAACCAGAGGAAGACCTGAGGTTTTTCAATAGGCACAAGAGCATAGGGTACATGGCAAATGTGCTTGTGAGAAAGTTGGTGTGTGTGTGTGTGTGTGTGTGTGTGTGTGTGTGCGCGCGCGCGTGTGTGTATGTGTGTATGTAGTGAGAACAGGTGGGAGTGTATGAGTTGGAAAAAGTGGGAGGGCAAAATACAAATGATCAACAGAAATATAAAAACGAGTGCTCACAGAGCACTTCTTCTGAGCCTAGTGCTGATGTTTAGAATCTTATTTCATTCTTCAAATGTCCTGTGGAGTTAGTGCTATATAACCCTGCTGATAGAGTAGGAAACTGTGGCTTGGAGCAGCTAAGGAACTTGCTCATACTACTAATCACTGCTAGACTGCCTCATGATGAATGCATGAGCAGGGCCAAGTTGTGAGTGAAAACGAATGTCAAGTGTGCATCAGTGGGTGTGTTGAGTGTGTGTGTGTGTGGCCTGAGTGTGCCAGACATGGACTCCAGAGGAGAGGGCAGGCGGCAGCTGTGGACACCAGGCAGGGTAGGGACTGAGCAGAGTCTGAGTCAACATCTGAGGCCTCTATGCCAACCTGGCTTCCCAGCCCTGCAATGGCAGCCTGTGCCAAGGACCCCAGCAAATGATCCTCCCAACCCTGGGATGGCCCCCAGCAAACTCCCATCTGACACTCAGAGCTGGGCCAAGGGGCGGAGACTGGCAAGAGGCTTGCCTGGCCTCCAGGGTACCTACAGGGGCAGCTCCCAGGGTGGCTCCCCAGGCAGAAAGGGCATATGAGAGTGGTGGGAGAGGGTCCAGCAGTGATTTCAGCCCCTTGTGGCTCTAAACAGAACCACCTGGAGGGTGTGGAGGGGGGAGGAGGAGGGTAACAGTTCCCATGCCCACCCCTGCTTTGGGATGTGACTCAGCCAGATGCCACACCAGGCATCTGTAAGCAGGGCCTGCTCCCACTCTGGGGGGTAAGGAGGAGCCCCTCCATCCCATCACACTCTTGGCCCTATTCCTCAGGTCTTAAACTGGAAGAAAGGAATTTCTGAGAAAGGAGGACTGTCCCCACAGTACTCCCACAGTGCAAAGAACGCTGCCTCTGCAGCCCCTCAGGAGGCAGCCTAGTGGCTAGGGAGGTTTAGGAACCTGGGATTTTTGTGCTGGCCTTGCCATTTGAGCAAGTTACTTCCCCACTCTGGCTTCAGTTTCCTGATTGTCAAAACAGGAATACTGTGCTAAAGGACAGCAAGCTGTCTGGACAAGCAGGGAATGGAGGCGATATGTATGTGTAGGAGGTGGAGTTAGGGAAGTGTCAGGATTAAATTGACACAGGAGCTCAGTTTTGCAGAATGGAAGATATTTGCATAAGAACTTTGAGGAGGGGAAAGCATGTTCTAGGCAAAGGGAAACTCTGAATGAAGGCTTGTGGTGCATAGAGGTATGGCTGGAAATCTAGCTTAGCACCCAGTGGGATAAAGTCCTGGACTGCCCAATCTCTCAGCCAGCCTCACCCATCTGCAGTCATGTGATGATCTGGTTACCATCTGGCTCTTTTACTAGTCTGTGCAGGAGGGACCTCATTTGTCTCAGTCTCTGATCTTCTCCTAGTGCCCTGAACAGTGTCAGGTGGATCAGAGATGCTAAATAAGTATTAGTTAAGTGAATGAGAAGCTTTTCCTCAAACACTCAGAATTCTGGGGTAAGCACTTTTCCAACAGCCTCTGTAAAGAACCTCTTCAGACTCTTAAGACAGTGGTTTGCAGAATGTGGTCCATAGGACATCACCTGGGCACTAGGTAGGAATGCAAAATTTTGGCCCAAATCTAAATCTATCCAATTAGAAACCAGGAGTCAGGACGCATCAGTCTGTTTTAACAAAATGTCCAGGATAACTGTTTTATACGTTGAATAAACTTTGAGAACCAGAGCTCTAAAACTGTGTCCACAGACAACATAAAAGCACATGAAGACCCCATTTACAGATAGACAAACTAGGATTGTGGCAAAGCCTGGCCTAGAACTCAAGTATTCTCGAATTATTCCTTTCCACAGACCAGGCCAGGGCACAAAGAAGAGTTAGATCCTCCATCCAGTCAGGTTCTTGGAATGGAGATTTGGAACCTCAGGGTCGAGAAAGGGAGGGCGGGGCATTCCTCTGGGGGATAGAAGGCGGAGCCAGTGCTCTGAGCCCCGCCCCATTAGCGTTGCCCCGGGAAACCCCGGGTTGTAACAATAACCTGCTGACGCGCTTATGGGAGGGATCCTGTCGAGTCTGTGGGCGGGACAGTCCTGCCGCGAACCAATAGGAATCCTTGAGCCCCGCCCCCGAGCCCCCCTCACCAGGCGCCAAGCAGGGGGCGGGGTCGCGCCTGCCTCTTCTGCCCTATTCCGTAGGCGGCGCTGCAGCTTCCACCGGGTGCGGCGGGGTCGCCCTGAGCTAGGAGCTCCACGCCCCCGCCCCAGCCCTCGGCGGGGCACCCGGGCGGGCCCAGGATTCCAAGGCCGCGGGCGAGCACGCCCCGCCCCTCCTCACCAGCCCCGCCCCTCCGCCCCTCCGCCCCCACCCCGCCCATCCCGAGGTGCAGCCGGCGCTAAGCGCGGCAGGCGCGGGAGCTGGCGCTGGAGCTGGAGCGGCGGCGGCTGCGTTCACCGGGCGGCGGCGGCGGCGGCGGCGGCGCGGGCCCGGACACGGGCTCGAGCTCCGGCATGGTGCATCCCGGCCTCGTCCCGGGAGAGCAGGACCCGTGCGCAGAGCCGGTGCTGGGGGAGCAGCGGCGGTGGCGGCGGCTGCAGGCGCAGGCAGGCAGCAGGTGCTAGTAGCCCGGCTGGGCGAGGTGTGTACCCGAAGGGCTCCCGGGCCGCCGCCCCCTCTCCGCCGGGGTCTTTTCCTGTCCTCGTGCTCCCCAGCGCCTCCAGCCCCCTTGCCTCTGCTTCCCTGCTCATGGCGACCCGCGGCTGAACCGCGCCACCAGGGACCCCTCCCGCGGGCCTCCCGGGGCGTGCAGCTCCCGGAGCCGCCCGCCCACCCTCCGCGGAGCCTCCTTCCCGTCCTCGCCCGAGCCGGGCGGGACCATGGCCGCGAAGCTACGAGCGCATCAGGTGGACGTGGACCCAGACTTCGCGCCGCAGAGCCGGCCGCGCTCCTGTACCTGGCCCCTGCCGCAGCCAGATTTGGCCGGCGACGAGGACGGAGCGCTGGGCACAGGGGTTGCAGAGGGCGCCGAGGACTGCGGGCCAGAGCGCCGGGTTACGGCCCCGGCAATGGCCCCCGCGCCGCCGTTGGGCGCGGAGGTCGGACCGCTGCGGAAAGCGAAGAGCTCCCGGCGGAACGCATGGGGGAACCTGTCCTACGCCGACCTCATCACCAAAGCCATCGAGAGCGCCCCGGACAAGCGACTCACGCTCTCGCAGATCTACGACTGGATGGTCCGCTACGTGCCCTACTTCAAGGATAAAGGCGACAGCAACAGCTCAGCTGGCTGGAAGGTGGGGGCGTCCGGCTGGAGACAGGGGCTAGGATGCAGACTGGGGTTTCCTGGGCGGGCCGTCGGGGAGGGCCTCTGGCGCACTTCAGGGGTCAGGGAGTGTGTGCCCTGGGCGTGGGGCTGGTCGGTGGACAGGTGGAGGCATGCTGGGAACAGCTGTGTGCGTGATCCCTGGTCAGGAGGGAAGTGGGGTGGGAGATCTGGTATCGTGAAAAGGTACTGCCTCTTTAAGGTGTTCCTGAGCAACATCTCCACCCTATCCTGGAGGCTTGTGACGAGCCCATTCCCAGGTCAGAACATTAGGAGCCCCCAGCTCCCCCAAGTTTGCTTCTTACCGCACTTATTTCATCCTCTCTACCAAGACATCCTTTAAAGAGCTGGACTGAAGACTTGGGCCAGTGGCTGCTTTCCCTCCCAAATCTCCACTGCCTTTCCTCCAACTGGCCCGTGGGTGTGGAGTGCCAGCCACAGGCCCACAGTTCTTTCTGTGATGCCAGGAGTTCACCCTGGGCACCCAACAGCCTGGGGTGGGGAGTGTGGCAAGTGACCTGAGCTGCAAGTTCATGGGGCATATGGTGCTGGCCACTTACCTGGCTCAGCTTGGGGTGGGGGGGTTAATCACTGCTGGTGCCAGGGTATGGTATTGAGGGCTAGGAAATCTGTCCCCGCTCATCCTAGGAAGCTTGTCTTTCACTTTCTTGGCTTTCTGGGCCCAAATGCATTTAGGGGTTGGGGGAAGGGTGGGGTACCCATTGGAGACCTCAGTGCCAGGCAGTAGAAAGGGGGAGAGCCATCTTGGGAAAGGACAGGGACATGGGCTTGATTGGATTTTGGTCTCCAGACCTAGTTCATCCTCTGGCCACTTTATTGGAGAATATGGGTAGTCTGTGCTGTTGGGGGTGGGGAGTGGAAGGGGCTTGTGCCTAGGAGGTGAGCTGTCAGGCTCCCTATGGAAAGGGGTTCCTTGTGAGGGAGGCATGCCTGTATCTAGGTAGGGGGCTGCACTCTGTGGTGGCTGCTAGCAGGGTCCCAGGAAGGAAATGTGCTATGGCAGCGGACCTGGTTTGCTCTAGATGCCCCTGGCAACATTGTAGGGATCAGAGTGTCCTGTCCTGGGAGCCTGTGACTCTCAGGCTTTGTGCTGGCAGCTTCTCTCTCTTGCAAGCCCCTATGGGGCAGGGATGCAGACCAGAAACATAGACATGAATCTCCTTCCCCACTCACACCTCCCTCACTACTCCATGTGTCCTGGTCCACCTTCTGCTTCTCCCTGGAGTTGTATTTACTGTCCTGAGGGGACATAGTTCAGCTGCCACCTTCAGGAAGCCCTTTCTAACTGTTTTTAGCCACCTCAGGACTCCCTTTCTCCTGCCTTCTCCAAACCTACAGTGGGTGTTAATCATTGGTGTCTTGTCTCATTTCCCCTTCCTAACCTTTGAAAGACAGTGGCAGTATCAGAGCTGTTCTGTACCCACAGCACCCAGCATTGAGCCTGGCAGCAAGAAGCATGTGTAGTGAGAGAGAGGAGATAAGTTGATGCTGCAGACGATTTGGAGTCAGGAGAGTACAGTGGGCCAGAAGGCCAGGAGGGCTTCCTGCAGGTGGTGGAGTTCCAGCTAGTCTTGATGGATGAGAAGGATGGGGAAGATAGGGAGAGGGGACCTGAGACTGAAATCCAGGAGACAGCTGCAGTTCATTGAGCATGTCAGGGCCAAGCTTTTGCCAGGTTCCCCTGCATCTTTAATGCTCTCTCAGCAGTCCTTGAGGTGTGTTTTACTAAGTCCATTCATAGAGGAGGGCACTGAGGCCCAAAGTGGAGGGTTGAGCTGCCTACGGTGCTACACTTAGGAGATGGGAAAGCTGGATTCCAACTCAGACATGTCTCCTTCCAGGGCCCCACGGAGCCTTTGGAACAGGGCCTTGCTGACAGCTGGGGCAGGAGGGGGACATGAAAGGCTTTTGAGCAGGAGCAGGTATAAATCCTAACATAAGGTGAGAGTGTGCTTGAAGATAATTTGGTACTGTAAGTTCATTGCTCAGACTGTGAGACTGAGGCCTTAGAAGGTGATAGGACTCTCCTGAGAGCATCAGTGAGCAGCAGGCCCTGGACAAGAGCCCTGGGCTTCTGCCTGCCTGCTAGATGTAGTTTCCATTACACCACACTGATGGGGACACAGTGGTTCTTCTGTCCCTTGTGTCTGGCCTCCAGTCCTGGGCTTGGGGCCTTAGGCTTCAGACTTGAACTCTTGCCCTAGGACCTTCCAGAATTACCTAGGCACTGGAGGGCATCTGCCCCATGGTATCCCTTCATCCCCAGCTCTCTAGGTGAGGTGAGGAGACTTCCTTTTCACTCCCTCCTGGAGCTTTCTGCCCCTTTCCCAGTCAGTTCCTCCAGAGATGGAGGAGCCATCCTTAACTCCTAAACTATCTCTGGTTAACAGAGGCTGTAGTACATGTGGGGTGCCAGGTGGGGCCAGGGCCCATTATTCCTTCCTCCCTCTCCTCCCAAACAAAAGTGTCCCACACCCTGTGTTCCATAGATGGGGGCACGGAGAAGGCCTTGGTCCTGCTTTCTGGGTGCACCAGTGTTCAGCCAGTTCCCTCCCCCTGCCATCTGCTTTGTAGACTGGAAAGGCTCAGGGCGGGCAGGAGTAAGAGAAGGTGGTACTCTGGGGAGCCAGGCAGGTCTCCACAGAGGAGGTGATACTTGATCTGAAGAGGGGAGAATTTGGGAGATAGTATTCCAGGAGATATTGCATACCCAAACTGAGGTGGTAGGATTGTGATGTTGTATTTTTGGCACCCTTTGGCAGTGCCAGGCTGGAACCCAAGGCTCCCAGACATGGCCAAGAGATGGCTGGAATGGTCTGACACTGAGCCTTCACCCAGTGGTCCCATATGTGATGTGGGAAAGGTAGTCCAGTGCTACTGAAGACAACAACGGAAAGAGACAAGACCAGCCACAGGCTCGGGACACCCAGAAAAAGGTTGGGCTTGGTGCTCAGAGCCACACCAGAGGCATTGGTCCTGTTCCCTTCAGGACAGAGCATCTCCTACCAGGCCTGCGAGATCCTTTCCCTTTAACTTGTCTGGGAGAGTGTGGCTAGCTGGGTGGGGCCTCCCACTCCTTCTCAGATGCTCCAGCTTCAGGGTCCCTTAGCCCTGACTCTTCCCAGAAGCCTTCCCAACTTCTCTGAGCCCTGGTGTGCCTTCCTCTTCTGGAGTTGCTCAGCCTCCTTTTGTGTTTTCTGGCGGCCAGTTAGTTCCTTTGGGAGCTCCTTGGAGAGGCCTGGGCGCCTCCCATGCCTGTCCCCAGGCCTAGTGGGGAGGCACACAGTGGATGGGGACTTACCTTCTCCCTTTGGGGCTGTAACAGCCTGGTTGCTGAGGGTTGGGCTCAGAAAGGCTGGTGCTTCCCCCATCTGACCCAGGCCTTGGCCTGTAAGTTCCAGGTTGGGCGGGGGTGGAAGGGAAGCACTGATCTGAGAGGCCAGGAGCAGCACCCTGCTAAGGTAAAGAGAGCAGCCCTAAGTGCAGGCCCCCTTTCTTCTTAGCCTGCTCCCAAGGGCTCCCTCCTCCTCCTTTGTCCTCTGGGGATCCCCAGCCCCAGGGGCTGGCGGGGGTGCAGGAGGAGGCGGTGTGAGCCCGAATTGGGGGGGTGTCCTCACCCCCCTCACTGCACGAGCGAGGGGCTGGCAGCTGCCCGCCTCCTGGGCACGGGGCCCGTGCCAGCCGCTCCTGGCACAGTTGCTGGCACGCCCGGCAGACTCCCACGGCCACCTGCTCACACCCACCCACGAGCGCTGGCGCGCTGCGGGCCCTTCCGGCTTCCCGGGCCTCCTGGCGCCCCTCCCCCGCCGTCTTGCCCGAGCCCCCACCCCAGCCTCCAGCTCCTCCTCTTAGACCCTTACTCTGTTCACCCCATAGCCCCGCCCTGTGCAACTTGGGGACAGCACAGGCCAGAAGGGCCTCGGGGGCCTCAGGGCAGCCACGCCTTGGTGGGGGGAAGAAGACCGCAAAGCCAGCAAGCAGACAGACTGACAGACAGGGTGAGGGCCCCCGCCTGCCACCTGGCGCCGCTCCAGCGGGACGATGGCGGGCAGCGCCGTGCCAGGCGGTAATTGCAGACAGACTAATTTAAAGAGATGAGACGGTTATTTTTAACTCGCGTTAAGGTAATGAACGGCGGGGGGGGGGGGGGGGGGATGGCGAGCGGGCGGGTTGCGGGTTCGAAAGTTCAGCGCCCCCCAGCCCCCACTTGCTGTGGCTCTGAGTCCCCTCTTGTGAGGGGACCAAGGAGGCTGAGAGCAGGAGAGGCCCCGCCAGAGGTGGGAGGGCTGAGAGGGCCGGGCAGGGGTGCTTCCAAGCCCAGTGCTTGTCTCATCAGCTCCTCACCACTATCCTCAGGAAGGTTAGTGTCCCTGCAGGTGGGGAAGATACTTGCCCTTGGAAGTGGCAGTGCTAGGAATTGAACTCCCACTCTAGCCATGAAACTCCAGGTCTTTTCTGTGGCATTAGGCATAACTGAGATGGATCGGTGCTGGAGGGAAAGGCTTGGGTTTGGACTGTGAAAAGCTTGGGGGCTTATTCCTTGCAGCTCACTTCTCCTGTCTGAGTGGCTGCTAGTGATGGGCTCCACCTAGGGTGCTGCGGTTTGTCTGTAATGTGGGAAGGTTGATGGGATGGTCACCGGCTCTGTGCATGGCTCTGAGCGTCAGATAGAGGTGCTTGGACTGCACTCCAGGAGGCTGTCCTCTCCTTCCTGCTTCCCTGACCTCCAGCTGACTTTCTAGGTACCTCCGTACACCAGTGAGGGCCTGCCTCCCACTGGGGGCTGTGTACCTGGGAAGCCCCTCCACCTTGGGGCTTACTCTTCACCTCCAGATGGGACTTTGGATTTCTGAAGAGAAGAGCTCAACCCCTGGTGCTGTGCCTCTTCCTTCAGCTCAGCCCCTTCTGACACTCCCAGGGACTAGGAACTCACCCACTCTGGGCTGGTCC